TAGTAATTTTTTTCATTTTCTCAAATTCACCTGGAAATATTAATATCTAGAAACAGAGTGAGGAGTGCTTTCTGCTCCACTCAGGGTGAGGCACACAATTTTCTGTACCCCAAAGCAGCCAAATCCAGGAGTTGACCTCCTTTTGAGGAAAGAATCAAAGATCTTCTGGACCCGGGACTGGAAGAGGAAGAGCTGAATTCCACAACCAGCTCCATGAAGAATATCTCAAACCAAAGGGCTACAAACTAGGAGCAGGAAGTCCCTTCAAGGAGGCAACTACTATGTGTATTGCCGGGTTTCTGTTCTCTCGACTAAAAGGCTCAGGGGTCACTCCAGTTAAACTGGGCTAACTGGGCTGCACGAAATAACCACACAAGAGACACAAATACCTTTTTCTTTGGGGTCACTGTGACGGCTCCTCTGACCTTACTGGTCCACAGGAAGAGAGAGAGCAAGAGCATGTGCTGACCCCTTTTATTGAGGAGAAGCTATTCAAATGAGGCAAGGGGTCAGGTTTCAGGGGCCTGAGTCTATCTTCATGATGTCCACTGCCAGCAGGTTGACTGACACCTGGGTAGGCCACATCCAAAGGCACAGTAAGAGAAGGGGACACACACAAGGCACTTCCATGGAAGATTCTATCCTAAACAGGGCAAGGGGTTATATTACAAAGGAACAGGTGAGCATAGCTCCACCCGTGGGGCTGTAGCAAGACACACCCATGCATGAGACACTGACCCCTGGACCCAAGAAGGGTGGGGAAAGTTCTGCCACATTTCTGCGACTGAGCGCCTCAGCACCCAGCCGGGGAGTGTAACCCAGTCACGTGTAAGGTTGGTCTCCCACAGTGTATTTTATATTTGGAATACCATTTGGTTGTCTGGAATCTATTTCATAAATAGAAGTTTGTTAAAGGCCCCAGAATAAAGGGGATAAATACATAGTGATGTCTTAAATATAGCCATAAAGTCTTCTTAAAATCTTTGTGGGAAGTAGGAAAATGGGCCCCTTTCTCAAGGCATGTTACTGCTGTTTTCTGGATGATTTTCATAAGGATTGGACATACCTATGATCAACAGGAAGTGAGTGTTGCCCCCTGGAGTACTAGTGCATAATTCACACACAACCATACGCTGTGGCCCCATGGGGTTATTCAAAGTGTGTAAATATATGGTAGTGTGGAGGACAGAAGCGTGAACAGGGAGGGACATAAATTTGGTCAAATTAAAAGAAGATTCTTATCCAGAATCTATAATAAGTTGTAACATTTATATAATCTCCATCATACTCAGAGTGGCATAAAAATGTTAAAATCTAATTAACCTTTAATGCACTCATCTGAAGATTATTATATCAATTTTTAAATGGATCAAAGTGAAGGGAGGATGGCAAATGCCTAGTTCAGTGATGCTGAGTGAGTGGCATTGGCAAGACTTAAGTCACTTTTTCCAGTTCTTTGTTGGAAGAGCTTGTTTTTTCTTTCTTTCTTTCTGTCTTTCTCTAGCTACCTGGATGAGACTTAAACAAAGCTTTATAGATACAGATGGAAAGTGCAAATCCTGAGCATGGGAAGAGATTTGAAGAATATTTAGATGAACTTACAGATGTCAAATAATGGTAACGAAGGAAAATAGGATGCCTAAGAAGCACAACTGATATCCATACTGGCAGCACCCTGGACAGCTCTGTAGGGAGCCGGCACAGTCAGAAAATGGTCTGGGATTGGATTGTGGGCACACTTATGTGTGTGTGTGTATATGTGTGTGTGTGTGTGTGTTTCCTTTCATCCTGGACCACCTTAAAACTTTTATTAATGATCTTACAAAGGTAGCAAGTGGGGAAAAGGATTAAGATATAAAAACTATAAAACAAGGAAGAATGTGAAGAGACTAGAAGAGAGGAACACACTGAACCAGAAGTTCACCACATCAGAGATGAGCTCAGTCTTTGAGATGTGTCTGAATGGCATCCTGAAGGACAGATGGGCAGTTTCAGTGGACAGAAAACGAGTGCTCCAGGTGGACGTAACATGTCACATTTCTGCTTTTGCCTACCCAGCCTCTATCTGTTCTTTTAATGCATAATGCTTTACTTTACTTGGGGGGAGGGGGAATTCTCTTCTTCCATTGGATAAAGTTGCCAAAATTATCTACAAAATTATCTAGTCAAATTCAAGTCAGTATCCACTCTCTGGAACTGGCATCTGAGAAGAGTAGACAGGAAAAAAAAAGAAGAAAGAAAAACAAAAATACAAAGAACATGGGACTTTTTCACTCTGGTTGTGCCCCTGGAATATTGTCCAGTAGTTCTTGCTACTATGAGACCCCCTGAATTCCTCTGGTTCCTGTCCTGTCTGGGCCTGACTCTTTAGTTTCTGTGAACTTCCATACCCTTTCTCTCTGGTAGTCAGAGTCAGTTTTTATGCCTTGCAGTGAAGAGCTCTAAGTGGCTAGTAGTTGGAACACTGCACAATACTAAGTTTTTCAGATGGTCAGCAGTGCAGTGTTGCTGCAGGAAAGCAATGAGGGCTAGGTGTGGTAATTTAGGAACAGGTTGAATGAGGTCAAATGACCAGTTAAGGAGATTGAACTTCACCTAGGAAGAGAGAACTAATGAAACATCTCAGGTAGGGGATATGATTGTATTTCTCCTTTAAGATTCTTCTGGAAGCAACGTGGTTATAAAAATTGGAGAATTAGATAGTGAGGCTGGGGAGACCAGTTAGGAAACTATTTTACTCATCCGGATGTGAGGTCATGCAGGCTTGGACTATGGTGTGGAAGTAGCAATGAAAAGGTGCAAGTGGGCAATAGGGCTTCTTGTTCTCCTAGATGGTAGCCAAGGGGAGAAGATGCTGATTTGTAACTGAGCCACGGGGAGCACATTCCCATCCGCAGAGAGAGCACATTCCCATCCGCAGAGAGAGCCGGTAAATTCTGCTGCAATGCACCTTAAGTGCCCCAGAGAAAGAAGTTTGGGCTCATAAAGAGGAAGGCAGCAGCTCAGTCTGGAGAGCAGATCAGTTGGATTTGGACCAAATTAATATCTTGAGTTGTTGATGCTGAAACTTCGACCACTCCCTTGACAAATAATTTTTGGTTGAGGCAGCAGGCAAGAGAAGTTCCCATTTGGAAGATTTGGTATTTCTGTGGTTTCTTCTGAAAAAAAAAATTAAAATTACAAGCCCCATTTTTTTTAGTGGTTCATAAAAAGTTGCAAAGGGAAAACATTATTGAGCAATAAAAGGTGTGTTTATGTGTATTCATAAGAAGTGGCTGGAGGCCAACTCCCATAAATGTGTTAGGCTTGTACCTCAGCACTGAACAATTACAAGAACCCTGGAGGCTTCTATTTCACTTGGAAAATGTAATAGAGGCAGCTTCTGCAGCCCTTCCAGGCTAATCAACCTCACACAGACTGAACGAGGGAGCCTGCCCCTTTAAGTTTCGACAGTAAGCAAAACTGTAATACGTATAGTAAAAGTGGTCTTTGGAGCCCAGTTCTTTCTATTCTCCTCTCTGGCTTGGCAAATACCTGTGTCTCCATGAGTTCCCTTGTACTTCCAGCCAGTATCACTGGCTCTGAGTCTATTTCAATTGGCACGAGCCACTACTTACCAGGTTTGGAGACACTTCTTTACAACCAAGGAGTCATCCCCACCCTATCACGAGTGGGTTTCCATTGTGAGAACTAGACCCTTGATAGGCATGGATGTGAGACTTCCTCGCAGAAAGCAAGATGCTGCTCCATTTGACTGGCTGTGATAGTACTTTCCCAGTTCTAAGAGCCCCGTAGGGAAGGCAGGAAACCTTATCCTTCCTCAGGAAATCACATCACAGAGGCAACTGTTCATTTTACTTGAGAGCAGGGCTGTCTCTGCCTTCTGCTATGGCTATTACCCACATCAGGATGTGGCCACAGAGCCCAAATATTTTGCCTTATGGTCACTGGAGTCCTTCTTAGTCCCTATCATGCAGAAACTTTCTAGTCAAATAGGACTTAAGGCTTTCTGGAAGGCAGAAATCTAACAGTAAGGAAGTGCCTCAAGTAGTAAACTTCTCTTCCTTTTACATAAAAGTCTTGGATAATTGAGTACATTAGTTTCTTATAGTTCAGTAACAAACTGATATAAGTTTAGTGGGTTAAAACAACAACCTTATTAACTTATGGTTCTGGAAGTTAGAACTGAGGTCAAAGCAAGGAATTCACAGGGTTGGATTTGTTTCTGGAGGCTTTGGAGAAGAACTTGTGTTCTTGACTTTTCCAGCTTCTCATGGACACTTGCTTTGCTTGGCTGTAAACCCCTTTCGTCTCCAAAGCCAACAATGTCTGGAAAAGTCCTTCTTACATTTTATCACTCTGACACTAACTTTACTTCTGCCACTAACTTTACTCTGCTTCTTGCTTCCCCTTTCAAGGACTGTTGTGATTACGTGGAGTCCACTGGATCATCTCCCCAGGTTGAAGTCCGCTCACTAGCAACTTTAATTCTCCTTTAACATGGAACATAACATATTCACAGGTTCTGGGTATTAGGACCTGGACATCTTTGGGCTATTATATTACATGTCACAGAGAGGGAGTATTAAAATATCTGTCTCCTTTTCTTCTGTGTTCTGGTTGCTCTTAATACCTTTCAATTTTTTTTAAAATGTATTCAAACTAGTTCACAATCTTCAAAAGTGGCACATAATATACTTTTCAAATGACTTCAGGGTGCAAGGCTCTGTTCCAGGAGCAACTGGATGTACAAAGGAAAGCATGTGGGATTATACTGCCTTCTAGGAATTTTTAAACACTATTTGAATGAATGAGACACCCATGCACAGACAACAGAGAAGAGTAGAATTTGATAAATCCCAGCGACTGCTTCAGCCAATTAGTGCCGTGGGAGTTCAGAGGGAGTGTCACTCTGAATCCCGTTGACTGAAGTTCTCCCCTCCTAATGTACTGCTTCATGGAAACAAATCTTCTCTACTATTTTTTTCCTGTTCCTGCAGGTATCCTCCAGCCCCAGAGGTGGTAGAGAACAGATGCCAAGGACCCTCACCAGTGGACCCAGACAGTGATACAGGATCCTGCCTTCATACTATAACGACTAGAGAGAGTTCTTCCCTTTCCTTCTAAAATAGCCAATTCCTACAGACTGATAAGAAGATCTGGCAGAAATCTGGGAGCAAGAGTGCAGCTCCTTGGCACAGCAGCCATGGGAAATGGAGAGAAAGAAAATCACTTTATAGATAGGAGAGAAATAAGGAGGATTTGCTTAAACCCATCTGCATCTTCCATTGAGACTGTTGGAAAGAAGTAAACAGCAGCTATAAATAATTTCTACCCCAAATACGTTGGGGTCTTCTCAGAGGTCTTCACCTTTCAGCATCTTCTGGACTTGACATATTTGGTGAGGAGATATGTGTAAAGGGGACAGAATGAACATTAAGTGTCTTTGTGGGCAGCTCATGTGGACACTGAAAAATAGTTTTTGGGATTTGCTCCTGTGTCTTTTTTATTTGTAGAACAATATACCTAGTAATACCAGAAATGTGTCATGGTGACTGCTGGAGGGATTATCTCACAAGTGGCCCCCCTCTTCACTGTGACCATCAGACTCATAAAGAACAACACAAGCCCGAAGACTGCTCTGTGGTTGATACCTATGGTCCTGGGGCAGAGCTTGAGTTTAGGTCTGCAGGGAAGAGAAGAGTCAGTAGCAGGTCAGGTTCTTGTCCCTTGGGCTCCCTTTGAATCAATTGCAACTTTTTCTGTGATTGTGCCCTGGTGATGCTTGAAGTCACAGATTTATTTTCTTCATTATTCAGAGTGACAATCAACTGTATTTAAGACATAGTACCTAAACCACGAATATATAAGGAATGATTTCCTTTTCTACAACTAGCAGTACTGTCCATTATAGGGCTGTCAGTCAAAGATAAATTAGGCACTATGACTTGTTTTTGTCATAGAAAAGTAGGCCTATAATTACAGACCTGCCCAGAGGAAAGGAACTTTAATAGTTACCATTCTTCCTTTTAAAGAGCATGTTCCTTCATCCTGGTCAGATTCAGCCTCTGTGTGAATATGTTCTATAATGGGAACATACAACCTCACTAGGAGACCTGGGGTCAGCACACTTTTTGTAAAAGTTCAGTCAGCAAATATCCTAGGCTGTGCAGACCCCCGGGGTTTGGGTTGCAACTACTCAAATCTATCCCTGTGTATGTAAGCAGCTATGGATAATATGTAAATAAATGACTGTGACTTTACAAGAAAGCTTGATTTACCAAACAAGCAGTGGGATGGATTTGGCCCATCTGTATAGTTTGCCTATTCCTGGGATACCACTTGCTTGTGGGGCAGCCCTGATGGTGTGAAGTTCTACCTTGAGCCAAAATCTGCCTCCCTTTAAATTACTTACCACCTTTCACATCCTTTATCATGCTTAAAAATATTTGATTGATTAGCTACAACTGCCTCCTGTATCTAAATTATTTACAACACATAAATTCTCTAATGGGTACCATTTTGTTCTAAAACCAATATGATTAATTGATTGTTTCATTCACTTGCCTACTTATCCATCATTTATTAAGTACTTGAGTAGGGGCTGGGGCTGGGGAAATAAATGCCCTCTCAGAGTTGACAAGTCTGGTGGGAGATGATCACAAATGAAAGTGAAAGCTATGGTAGTGATAGAGGGGTCTGTGGGAGGATAAGGGGTAACACCCATCCAGTGGCAGGGCACAGAGAGCACGGAGGATACGGAGACTCCTTCAAGGAGGTTGCACTTGAACTGAGTTTTATGGACTGGTTCTGGTAGAAACTAGCATTGAATTCTGAAAATCATATGTGAAAAGTTGTGCAACCTTTTGTGTCGTCAGAGTCTGCAGTTCTGTAATTCAGGAACCCCAAGTAATTCAACACTTAACACACAAATAATGCTTCTAATTTATATCTTCATATTCCTCTCCCCACACAACAGTGCACCTGAGTCTGAGCGTTGGATGGACAAGAGGGATGTAAAGGTGAGGGGTGAGCAGGAGATGTAGGCAAGGCAGATCTGGAGAAACCTTGGGTGCCATTTTAAAGCCAAAGAGAATTAACCAAAGTAAGCGTCATTCTGTGCTACTGTAGCCTGAAGTATTTTAGCAAAGCATTCTCTGAGTTGATTTAAAGGTTCTGTTTTATAAGCAAGACATCATGACCTTAAGGCAGCAGTCTTTGGTTCTTGAAAAAGAAAAATAAAAAGTCCAAATTCATATCTATCATAAACATTTGTAGTGTAAGTTGTAGAATTTTTTGGTTTGTTCTGGAATGTTGATTAATAGATATTTTCCTACCTAAAATCAATTTACAGGGATTTTCCTAGAATTTATCAGAAGACTGTACATTATATGGGTCTGTGTAACACGTATAGGCAAGGCCCCAACTTATTCTCTAACATCCCTTATTATAGATTTTACTTTTGACTTCTGTAGAATGGTGCCCAGGGCCTTTCTTTGCACATGATCCTTTTTCTTCTGTGCATCTCTCCCCCTCCACTTTACAACAGATCTGCCGAGCCTTGGCTAGACTGGCAGTGCTCTGAATGATTTCCCAGCTCCCCTCCCTTTCCTGCTCATTTCCTGACTTGCCTCTGGGTGCTCAGTGCTCCCCTCACACATGCTGTCAAAGAATTCAAGACAGTGCATTGTTGTTGTTTTACTTGTTTTTCCTCAACCACACAGAGGAAGCAGAGACCAAACCTTTTTCATTTTGCATTCCCACAGAAAGCACATAACTTGATACATAATAACATTGGCTGAGCCTTTGTTTGCTGAGTGAGTAAATGAACCAATGCAAGAACAAAGATTTGCCATATGTCCTGAGCTAGACTATTGATTAACCTCAACTAACCCTTTAGTGATTTGGACGTTGTAACCAATACAGTTTGGTGCAGGAAAAGACCACAGATAGTGCTTCAGTACGAAGCTGCACTGTCTGATGCTGTAGCCAACAGACTCACAAGGCTATCGGGCACTTGCACTATGGCTAGTCCAAATCCAAATGTGCTCTAAGTGGGAAAATACATACTGCATGTCGAATCTTTATCCTAAAAACAAAGGTAAAGTTTTTTCAGTACTTTTGAAATTATATCATTGGAATTTTGAAATTGTAATTTTTTTTTTTAGGTAGACTAGGTTAACAAAATATAATATTAAAATTACTTTCACTTTTAAAATATGGCTTAAAGGGATATTCAACATCTGTGACTCATATTTTCACTGGACAGGAGTGGTATGGAGAGTAGATTGCCATATTCTTCCATCTTGGAAGTTTTTTATGATTTCTTGCATTCAGATACCAGGTTCTATTATCAAAACTTGTGTTTTTGTTCTGTGGTTAGAAAGTGTGATCCACATATTGCTCGATTGCTCAGGCAGTAATCAACTCCTTGAGATGCTGCTGTCCTACAACCCCATGGCACAACCACTTTGGAGATGTCTGAAGAAGCCAAGAAAGTGGGGACCATTTGCTCAGCCAGTTCCTGCAATATAGGCACTCAGCTGAGGGCCCCGTGGTCTGAAATTATGGCTGATACCCTTGAAAATTTCTCATACCCTGGCACAGACATTTATTGTTAATCAGGGTAAGCCATAGGTCAGCTGACTACTTCCTCAGACCCGTGAAATCAAGGAAGAAAATGGTGTGAGAAGAGCACATAAGCAAGTTAGCTGTTTTTTGTGCTTATTGTTAACACAATCTTAACTTTGTTGATAGCAATAGAAAGGAACGGAAGAGAGTTACAAATTGATTGTATTGGAGATTTACCCTGGTGGTGGTTTAGGGAATGAGATGGGAGAGACAATGGAAGGTATATTTTCTAAATTATGTTTTGCTTAAGCCCAAATTAAAATTGCATTCCCTCTTCATGCATTTCCTTTGCTCTTTCTTCTATCAGAGATGTCTTTTGAGCTTTCTCCATTTAGAAATAGTCTAGTCTTTCTTCAGAATCTAACCTTAATAACAACTATTCTGTTAGATCTTTTTGCTTGGGTCTCCTGTCATAGAGTTTTTTTTTTTTTAAACATTTATTTTTTTAGTTGTAGGTGGACACAATACCTTCATTTTATTTTTATGTGGTGCTGAGGATCGAACCCAGTTCCTCTTGCATGCTAGGCAAGCGCTCTTCCTCTGAACTACAACTCCACCCACTCTCCTGTCATAGAGTTTTATGTGTAACTGAATTTCAACACTTAACAAACAAATAATGCTTGTAACTTATATCTTCATATTCCTCTCCACACTAGACTATTTTCTTCTTGAGAGCAAGGATTATCTCCTTATCAATTTGGGATATCCCATGCCAGCTACCCTCTCAGGCTGCTTGGTACATCCTGATAGTCAATGAATGTTTATGGAATAAATGGATGGATGAATGAATGAGTTAATCTATTGTCTGAGAATAGTAATGTTTATAAAAGGACTGGATGTTTGCTGCTTGCCAAATCTACATTTAAATGATGAAGAGCAGAGTGTACATTTCATTTGCATTTGTCTAATGACCACACTTACATTAACAAACAACAAGAGACTGTTTATATATCTAACTGGAATTCCTGAGGCTGCCACATTGATCATAAAGTACCTAAGGAAATGATCTAATGCTATGCATGATAGGTTTACCCCAAACTTTGTAGCCTCCAAGGGGAAATTCCCCAAAGATCCCAAATGTTACCTGTGTATAAAGCCACCCCTGGGTAGATGGAGTGTAATATGAATGAATGCCATCCAAACCTCAGGTCAGCCGTGAGCATGACACCAGCTTCTGTGTTCGATATATTTTCTATGCTCTAAAAGGATAGGCAATATAGCTGGACCAAAAGTGAAAAAATAATCAACAAAGAAAAGAAAAAGAGGTTTCCTTTTTAATTTAGAAATTACTGAATTTTTATGTTATCATTGCAGTTACCCAACTGTGGGATTTTAATAACACCTGAAAAAGTGTAACATAACCCAAGTTCTTTTGTTTTGTTTTGTTTTGCATTGGTGCAGCAATAGTTTTCCAGATGGTTGCATATATAGCACAATAACACAGGTAAGTGCGTGTGGCTATGGCCCTACTTTAGGCCGTAACAGTAAATAGCCAGACTAGAGCCCAGAGGCACTAGGTCTAAGACATTTGCATTTGTTCCTTGGCTTATAAGCTGTGATATTCTTATATTGTGTTTCACAAGCAGTGCATTTCTAGAGAACATCAAGAATTTTGGTTATTATAAAGATCCTTATCCATTTTATAGCCACTTAATACAAAGGAAAACTGGGCTGAAAAAAGTCCCTACTAAGGAATAAAGAACATTCCATTATAATCTGGTGTTGTAGAGAAGGGAGGGTATAGATATTTTCCTGGCTTATTTATTGACATATAAACTACATATGGCCATAAAACATTAGAAGAATGTCATTTTAAAAACAATTCAGGGAAAGTCTTACTTTGTGCCACTTTTTATGATTACAAGCTTGGAAACTGGAATAAGATATCAGAATTTAATACCTGAGTTTGTTTATGAAAAGCACCAAACAGCAGGCTTTTGGGCTTTAACCTTTTTAATATTCTGGAAGCTAATTGCCCACACCATCTCACCCTTCTAGGTTAATGAGGTGGCTAACAGGCCACAATAGAAAATGACTGCCCAGTCAAATGATGACAAACAAGCAAAAACTAAAACCCCAAAGCAAAACAACTGGGAAAGGTCAGGAGTTACATAGGTTTTTATTGTCTTTCAAAGAATGTACAGCAGCATTACCATTCTGTTGTCTCCTTGTGATGGATTGCAAAAAGAATCAGAAAAGGCACAACATGAATCTGCTCTCAGGACAATGATTGTAATCAAAATAGGAAATGGTACAAATGTAAGTCGTTCCCCTTGCAGTTTAAAGATTATAAATCCCTTATTCATCTGTTATGATCCAGGGGCCTACTTGTGATTTTTATGGTTCTTTACAGGCTTGGAATTTTAAAACTGTAATATGAAGGGGTTACAGCTGTTCTCTTTCTGAGTCTGATGTTTAATCCCTGCTTGGAGCATTGCACCCTGGTCTCTCCCTCTGCCCATCTGCAGCCCTAGCCGGCTGCCAATGCCTCTTAGAGAAATTCAGCCCATCCTGGTCTGTTCCCTTCCAAGTATTAAAACACTCCCTACTTCTCCAAGGGGGTTCTGAAAAAATTAGAAGCATTTGACAAGGGTTTTGCTCTTATAGAATTGAACTATTCTTGTCATCATTATGCAACTTAAAATGGAAGTGGGAGATGCAGTATCTTTGGAACCAGAAGACCTGGATTTTTAGCTTCACTGTGACTCTTTTCAAGAGTATGACCTTCCTTCTCTGAGCTTTTATTTTTCTCATTAGTTAACTGCCCTACCTACCGCACAGGGCTGTGTTGAACATCAAAGGGGCTAATGCACGTGAAGGTGCTTTGGGAACTGGGACCAGCTTTTCAAACGTAAGCTGTTGTCAGTGTTGATATCTGCAGTGAGGTGAAAAGCCAAATGGGACATGGTAGTAATAGTGATTTGTGGCCTTGTTGATTTCTTAAGTACATTCACTGCTTCAAGCTAGAGATAGATTTTTCCTGTTTGTAAAAGACTCTTAACAGTGACTCAACTTTGTGGTCCCTTGGGAGGCCCGGTTCTTCTTTCAGTACACTTGGGAAGCATAGGATGTAAGAAAAGTTATTTTCTTAGTGGTGTCTGAAGGATCAATGAAGGTAATATATGCTTCAAGGTGCTCAGTTTATACCCTGGAAGAGTCTTATTTAGTTGAGTATTTTGTTCTTCAATATATTTTTCTTTAGTCATGTTCAATGTAAATATATGTATCTCCCAAATATTTACAGTATATAAAGTTTTATGCTTTACTCTCTCAATAATTCTCTAATTCAAATGTTCATAGGGCTGCAGATGGGCAAATACTACAGTCATATTTTGAAAATAACACCTAAATTGACTATATAAATTTACAAAGTAGATCATCTTCTTATTCTTTTTCTTTTTTATTCCACCACTGGAGATTGAACCCAGGAGTGCTCTACCACTGAATTACACCCCTAGACCTTTCTGCATTTTTAAATTTTGAGACAGACTCTCACCAGTTGCTGAGGCTGACCTCAGTTTTGCAATCCTCCTGCCTCAGCCTTCCCTCCCTGATTGCTGGGATTTTC